CTGTAACCGAGGATGATGAGGACGACGATGACGACGACGACCCCCCGGGCTTCCGCAGACAACACGACCAGTGGGACGATTGGCCATAGGACGAGATCGGCATGTCTCAGCTAGGTGGTGCACCACTTGGTACCCAAGGAGCCTCACAGGTACTAACAAAGGTAGTTTCTTTAAATACGTAGGCTCCATGAACTAACGATCATAAAGATTATAAGTAATCGTGCATATCATATACTTGCAGGGTACGAGCCGTACGCACCGGCAGCGCGACCACACCGACGTTGGCTACACTCCCAATGTGTTGCCAACAAATCCAAAGAGACAGAGGCGTCCGAGGGATCCTTACACTCCTGGTCTTAGTTTGTTAGGTCAAACGAATATTGGCGTCCGAAACTTCCAGGCTTAGTTGGTTATGTTATGTCGAACTTATGTCAAACCAATGAAAATGTTATGTGGTAACTTGCGCACGGACTCCATTTATTTGCTTCATATTCGTTTCAATGCGTCGCGGCAGCACTGCCGGCGAAATTAAGTAGCAACTAGTTCGGGAACCGGCAGTGCCGGCGTATCTCGATGCCGGTGGCCGGCATCTTGACCCCGATCCTCCCGAGCTTGGTCATCGCCGCCACGAAATCGTCGAAGAAGGCACCCTGGTTAGACGCGCAGTAGTCGACCGTGCTGCGCGACCCCATGTCGGAGCCCACCGACGAGGGGTCGAGGAAGCCGGGGTCCATGGTCCGTGGTCGCGTCGCTGCCGATCCTCACCGACAGCAGCTGATCTTCTGTCTGCGTCCAGGTCCTGCCGCGCCATGCTCTGTGACGCGTCAGTGCCGCGCCAATATCGGTGGCGCGACAGACCCTGCCACGTCACCAGTCAGCGGCCCCGGTCTTCGCCACGTCACCCTCTTGCCGCATCACCATGCATGGCGCGGCATAGGCGTTTCGCCACGCCATGACAATAGGCGCGGCCAAAAGTGTTAGTTTTAGAAAAACAGTATTAGATTTAAGGGGAAATTGGCTAGTGGACACCCACAGTGGTGGTCGTTTGCTGGCGAACACCCAAAGTGGAGCTGTATGCTAGAAGAAACTCTGGTTTGTTGTAATTATGCCAAAGGACACCGTGGGCCGATTTCCACCAGTTGAGGAGAGAGAAAAATTCAGTTTGGACATCCAATGCCCCTGAGCCACGTTTGGGTCTGGTTGGACCAGCTAATAACCGACCCGAGCCTGGTCTGGTTAACCGGCTCGTCTCCATCTGTCTCAGTCCTTGCTGCACATGCATCCAATTTCTGCCTCGTCGGCTTCTGCAACCCATGACAAGGTCACCACCTAGGAACGTATGAACTGGAGACCCTGCAGCAGGCTTGCATTGCAACATTTGTCGCTATACCAAGATCCAAGCCCAACAATGGCGCGCTCGATCGCCTTCATATCCAGCACAGCGATCCATTGACCAGAATCCCCGTCCGTCCGTCCAAAGCTGAAAGCTTGTGATGAGCTCATGGTTTCACAAAATATATATGAAGAAAATACTTATTCAGTTTCAAATATGGTAACTGATCTTCAATTTGGTGCTTTTTCTTTTGATGAAAAATATATAAAGAAGACGAAGGAAATATTTCCTCCAGGTGGACTTTTGTCGATGATCATCTTTAAGGGTGCACCGTCCAAGAAAGAAGATAATACAAGACCAAGAAAATATATTTTTATAGGGTCCATGCAAGTTGATGTAACTTGAATTATTAATGCTACAGAGAATACTTGGAGAGGTGCTACTGGTAACGTCAAGTGGGCGACGGAAGATCACAAGTCCTATTGCATGATTAGCAATCTAGCCGCAATATTTTAATATATAGCTGAACTTATGTTAGTCTTTTGTTAATTAGCTAGCTAATGAGTCTATTTTGCTAGGACCAAGGTCAGGTCGTGCATCTTATGCCAAGTCGAGCTGGGCCTAGCGTCAGGCCTACATGCCTTTATAAAGGGTGCCAACCCATTGTAATAGGGCAGGTTGAATTTTATTGTGGAGTTATTCCTCGTCGAGCCATCGCTCATGAAACCATAGAGGTTTACCGTTCTGGATCTCTGCGAGGATTTGTGTCGGTGTGTGCCTGAGGATTGATCCTTGGACTCGTGCTAGAATTGATTCAATTCCTCATCTTCTGATCATGGTTCGTCGTGGCCGCGGGTGGAAGGATTATCCTAGGGTTTGGTTTACATCATCTATTGTAAGCTGATCCCTCTGTCTCTCAATAATATTATCTACTGCTGCTTCGTTGCTTGAAGTTATCACGTTGGCCGCTATCCTATTTGAGATTGATATATAATTGTGGCCTTGCTGCTACTACGGAGTACTACTTGCTTCTTGCAATTTTTGGTCATACGTGGATTCTGCTGGTTAGTTGATCTAAGTTGTGTGGCCGCTGCTTAGCCTTCAATTACCGTGAGGTTGACCTTCCTTGTTTAGCCGATTGCTGTCTGCTCCTCATTGATTGATAGATCGAACTGGTATTTCTGGTGTGCTGCTGCTGTACACGGTGTGTTTTCCGGCAATTGGTCAGCTTCAACAGAGAAGATAATTTATCATTATATTGTTGCAAACTTGGAAGAAAAGCTTGAGCCTATTAATCTGTACCGTGAAAGATTGGGCAAATTCTTGGACATCGTAGTTGGTGTCCTCATCAGCTTGGTGAGGATTTCGATCGCTCAGCGGTCTAGACATGGAGATGTTCCAGGAGGACACGCTGTCGTCAGCGACATTGTTGCCGGCGTCGTCGCTGTACACACCGTCGCCGCACGAGCATGGCGGGCTTGGGTCATCGTGGTTGCAAGAGCTGAGCCACGACCAATAGGGCCTGCGCCTCATCAACCTGCTGTACCAGTGCGCAGTGGAGGTGGCGGCGGGCGCCTTCGAGCGCGCCAACTTCTACCGGGAGCAGATCACGCAGCTTGCGTCCCACGGGCGCGCGCCAGACACGCCGCAGCTGCTCGCCGCCGTCTTCGCTGGCGGCTGGCGCGAAAAGCGCTGCGAACTGGTCCCCGGCACATCACGGGCGGCGCTGCATCCACGGGGGCAACTTCTGAGGGCGCGCACTGGTGCTTGCAGCGGCGGCACCTCTTCGACGTCTTTGCCGTTCATGAAGCTGGCGTACTCGACCACCAACCACGCCATCACGGAGGCGATGGGGCGAGAGGTTCGTGCGTCGTCGACCTCTCCGGCCCCGCCGCTAACCCGGATGCGATGGATCGCGCCGTTCCCGCCTTCCGCGGCATTGTGGGGGCCACCGCACCTCAGCGTCACGCGGCCGTGCGGCAGCGGCAGGAGTTCTTGGCCAACATGGCGCCGTGCTCGCCAAGGAGGCGGGCGTTCAACATCCCGTTCGATTCGGTGGCGTGGAGGCGAGGCCGAGGAGCTGGACATCGGCGCGCTCCGGCACGTCCTCCGCCTCTGGTCCGGCAGCGGAGGCGCCGTCGGCGTGGTTAAGCGGTACCGCGCCTCTGGCGGTCGATGACGCCGGTGATGAGGAGGCGAGCATGTCTGGCGGCATTATGCCCGACCTGTGTAGATCATCGCGGTCCGGCCCAAGCAACCGGCGAAGCTGGGCGAGAGATCAACACGCTGTGGCTGCGGTGAGCCCGCACTCATCGGCGGTGCTCTCCATGTCGCCGCGATCGTCGTCCATGTCGCCGCTCAAGCAGCAACAACAAGCAGAGAGAAAAAAAAAAGCGAGGCGCGCTTCACGCGCGCGCGCGTCTTGGTATTGTCGCCGAAGATCATGGTGGTGGCGGGCGGAGGCGAACCACAGCGTGGGCGACGTTCCTAGAGCGGTTCGAGGAGGCGCTCAACTACTACTGTCGCATTGTTCGATTTGCTGCGAAGCAGCGTCGTGGCAGCAGCGTCTGCGGTCTTGCAGGGGAGCGGGCTCGAGCAGTTAACTGCACCGAGCTCGGGTCGGTTATTAGCTGGTCCAACCAGACCCAAACATGGCTCAGGGGCACCGGATGTCCAAACTGAATTTTTCTCTCTCCTCAACCGGTGGAAACCGGCCCGCGGTGTCCTCTGGCATAATTACAACGAACCAAAGTGTCTTCTAGCATACAGCTCCACTTTAGGTGTCCGCCAGCAAACGACCACCACTATGGGTGTCCACCAGCCAATTCCCCCTAGATTTAAAATTAGTTTAAAAAAGTGTTAAAAATTTAAAAAAAATCACACAAACTACTAGGTGTATCATCGACACGAAAAACACACAAACGACAACAGACCAAATCATCATCGTCTCATCAGTGCCGATTCCTGCAATCTGGTGAAATCGTCCCATGAGTGCCGATTCCTGCAATCTGGTGAAAGGTAAGACACGTTGACATATACTCGCGCTGTCCTTATTTGTCGTTTTCAATTTTCGTATCACAAATTTGATTCGATTTATAGAAAATACGTGCAACATTTGTACATCTAAATAAATTTATTAAAAAACTAGATTCAAAAATCTTTCTAATGATACAAATTATGTATCATAAATATTAATATTTTTTAATATATATTTTGTTAAAGTTGTTTCTCAGAAAGCGACAGATATTTTAGAACGGAGGAAATAGTATGCTACTTGTGTAATAAATAAATAAAGTAATTGAAAACAAATATCGTTTTCGTCAAAGTAAAGTAAGGAATGAAAAATGTTGCCACGGTGACGGGTGTTAGTTCGATTTTTAGCAGTAATGATATTCAAGCAACCGTGGATGTTTACCAAGAGGCTTTTAACACCCAGGGCGTATTTGATAACGTGCATCTGGCCGGCCTGGCTATGGCTGGCTACAGTCCGGTCCAAACGATACAAGTGAGTGTGATGTCCCTACAGCTGCGACGAGAACGTGTTTGTTTGCCTTTAGAGAAGAAGTGTGGATACCTTGCACAGTAATGTGGTAGCCTTACCACAAGAGAAGTCCTCACTTGCATTTCATCGAGCAGTTGGTGGGCGCGAGCTAGTCCAGCGCCAAGGATGGCCATATGGTGCAGAGCAGCACCGGTGAGGGACGAGGAGCTGGAGAACAAGGATGACTGCGTGTGCGTGGGGATGCGGAGCACGCCGTCGACCGTGGTTGAGATCACCGGGACCGTGAAGGAGGACAAGGACGACGCCGCGGGCATGTGGATCCGCGGCCGGCGGCGGAGGGGCTGGAGCAGCACGGTGAGGGGCGAGGGGCAGGAGGACGGATCCTACTGCGCCGAACGACGCCTTGGCCGCCGCCTCTTCGTGCCGTCCTTCTTCCTGCTCCGCCTCGCGGCCTCCAGCGTGCGCACGAGCTCGACGACGTCGGGCGAGCACTTGCAGCCGAGGCCGTCCCCGAACAGTGCCCCTAATCCGAGCCTCGTGTCGACGATGGTGGCCACCTGCTCGAACCGCACGCTCCTGTTGCCCCCACCCCTCGCTGCGGCCGCGGCGACCTTGGCATCGGCCGCGGGGCACGGCGACAGCGGGTACACGTCCGGGGCGCGACGACCGGTACTGACGCACGTGCGAGGCCGGCTCGATGTGGCGGCGGCGGCACCACGCTTGCGCGAGGCTGGCTTGGCGCGGCTGCGGCGCAGGCGGCCGACGCGGCTACGGCAACGGCAACGGAGAGGACATCGGTGGGTGAGAGAGCGCGAGTGCGAGGTGACTCAAACTTGGGCTTGTGCGCTAAAGGGGGCCAGGTCGCAGAGAAACGGAGGTGGTTTTCGTTTCCTGGAGCCACCCTTTTGGCTGCTTTTTGAAGCGTATGAGCCGGACTGGGGAGCGGGCCAAGGACGTCAAACACGGCAAGTTGGCCACCTTATCAAATAGTACACCGCAAAATAGATTTTTGTTTTATAGTCCATCCGTCCAAAAAAATATGTAATTCTAGTAAAGTACCATGTTTTAGTATATCATATTTGATCAATTATATATAAAAAACTATACGTATTTATATCAAATAAATATCATTAGATCAAATATAAAATATATTTTCATAATAAATTAATTTGGAGTCATAAATATGAATATTATTCATTAAAAATTTGATCAAATGTGAATAACTTTATCAAACACGTAACCCATAGTTACATATTTTGCTAGACAGAGGAAGTATAAACTACCGTAGATCCGCTGCCGCGTCACAACGCGAGTCAGCAAGATGATGTCTTTTTTCAAGGTCACCGAGGTTCTGTGCTGCCTCACTATCTGTTGCTTTAGTAAGAGGGTGTTTGGTTGCCCCTCCTAAATTTTAGCCGTGGTTCCATCGAATGTTGACATATGCATAGAGTATTAAATATACACTAATTACGAAACTAATTGCATAGTTTGTGACTAATTTACGAGACGAATCTTTTAAGCCTAATTAATCCATGATTTGACAATGTTTGCTACAGTAAACATGTGCTAATGACGGATTGATTAGGCTTAAAAAATTTGTCTCGTGAAGTACCGACGGATTATGTAATTTGTTTTTTTATTAATATCTGAATACCCCATATAACATCCTTTCAACATACCTCCTAAATTTTAGTCACTAGATCCAAACACCCCTTAAGTCCATATCAGTGGTCCATTATGAGAGACCACCGTTGTGCTGCTGTCAGGCGAACCCAAAGCTCCACCACGACCGGCCGCCCACCTGAAATGAACAAAAGAAGGGGAAAACACTTAAAATCCTGCCTATTCATAAGCCGATTTTTGTAGCAGCTGATTTGGACCAATAATAATAGTCAAGAATCAAGATCAGCCTGTAGTCCACGTGAAGGTCCAGGATTTTTTTTCATGAAAAATAAGGTACAGAATTCTCTATATCATCTTCCTAAGTTCTATTCACTTGACTGATAAGCCATAACTAAAAGTACTATTAACTAATTTATTATGAGAAAAAATACGATTCATTGACTGGAAAATTACGGCTTATAACCTGAGCAAACGTAGCGCTCGGCTCTAGCATCGTCCTGTTCTACTGCCAAACTCCCTTCATCTTGAGTTCCTGACACCCCATAATAAAAAAGGGGGAGAACGTACACAACTGTTTGTTTGGACGATTGACGCGATACCTGTACGGCGCTGTAGCCAGCCCGGTGTAATCCGGGTTTGTTCGCGCCGGCGACGGTCCGCAGACACGTCACGTGGCTGACGGATCTTACCAGACTATCACTGACATACCAATAGGCCCATTGTACTGATGTACAGTGTACTCCTCAAACTTATAAGCCGTACTATTTTAACGAAATAATAGTGTTTTTCTCTCGTAACAAATCAACATCAGCGGACTTATCAGCCGTACCATTCCAGTAAAATAATAATATTTTTCTCTCATAATAAATCAGCATCAGCTGATTTTTCGGCCAGCCGAACATGTTGCCAAACTCTTTAATTGATGTTCTTTGATTATCTAGGACAAATGCCGATGTAGCGTGCCATCTCAAACGTTTGTCACTAGTACTAGAGTGGGACCTGGGACTGCCACCAAGGCACTCGAGTCTTGTAAAGATTGTGTGGGGGTGGTGCCTATGATGCTTTCTACAACAGCGACCCAACCCACAACCATGCCAATCTTATCTTGAAGAGGCTAATCTATATCTCGAGCTAGTTGAAGAACCTAGTCGAGGGTGCTACTTGGCGGGGGAGCCAAGTCGCACTGGCCAAAGTGAAGTCCCACTATCTCAACATTTATCTACAAGCGATCAATAAGGGAGTCGCAGCCAACACTCCGAACGAGGACGTCCAAAAGCTGCTAGAAGAAGTTAGCCGACTGTCGACGCCCTTGCCAACCAAGTTAATCTTAAAGGTCATGTAAAGAAGTAGTTACAATGTACATAGAGTACTCATGTACTCGGATGGCCGAGTGTACTTAATTATGTATATTATTAATAATTTTAAAGTTTGAATTATGTGATCCATTTTCTTTAGAGTGCCCCTTCACTACCAGATAGGACAAATTCCTGTCGGCCAGAAACCGTCCGGAATGAACACAAAACCGTCAGGAAATATATTTCTGACGAGCAGCCGTCAGGAACGCGCCGTCGAGACAGCTCGACATGAAAAACTAAGAATTCCTAATGGCCGGCCGATAGGAAATAATTCTTGATGGCAACTCCTGTCGGTTCCAAACCCACCGGCGATTCCAGTGTACTGTCAGCCTGACCGATAGGAATTCCCGTCAGGAATCATAAACCGACAGGAATCAACGTATAATTCCTGTCGTTGCAGTCGTCAAGAGAAAACCCAGTAACAGGATTAAATTTCATTTTCCTGTCGCCCAGCCGTCAGAAAAATAATGATAGGAATCCCTTCCAAGTTCCTGACGGGAGTGGTGACAGGAATCAAGATCATGCTCATAGCCATCCATTTTGATTCCAGGAAAACAAAAGAATATTATTCTACCACTTGCATTTGGCATCACAGGCACAAATTTACACACATTCTAAATCCAAATTGCACATTACATTTCAAACCGGTTCACAAGTCCAAATTCACCACATTGCTCGAGAGTCTATCTTCAGCAAGTCTTACATGCTAAGTAAGTAAGTTCAAGAGGCAAGACTTCACCAAGTCTAGCTGCTTACATGCCAACTAAGTAACAGTTCAAGAGGCAAGACTTCAGCAAGTCTAGCTGCTTATATGCAAACTAAATAACAGAGAGGCCTTTTCACTCTCTGACATCTACATACTAGGTATATCACTGCACAAAAGAGGTCAGCTTACTTCAACAAAAGCAAGTCAACTTGGAGCTTCACCATATACACTCCAACTGAACAAAAGGAGTCATTTGTCACTCACAAAAGAGGCTTACGCTGTCTAGACACTATTTCAATCTACGTTAGTGTTGCCTTCATTCTCTTCGATGCCATTATTGCTCTCTAGACCACCAGAACTAGCGTCTCCAGCATGGGATGATTTTGTGCCCTACAAAGTGATAGAACTTAAATTGATGAGTGATTCTAACAGTAAAGACAACACATGGCAACTCAAGTCCAGGAGATATAATTTGAATATAAGCTAAACAATTTGAATAAGTGAATGAAATGAGATGTATTTTCTCCAATTCCTCTTGTAGCACAAAGAAAAACTACAACGAGGCCTTATATGATACTAAGATGCACAATGCTAAAAATGGACATAGTTAACATTGCATAACAGTAAATATACACAAGTAGGACAAGCAATTGATATTAATCAACCTGCAGCCATACATGTTGGTGCTCACAGCCAAAGCATATGTAACTGAACATCACACAATATGAAGAGACGAAAGCTAGATATAGACCTGTTCAATTGGTGGTATAGAAGCATTTGCATTTGCAATTACGTTGATTGACTGTAGGATGTCTGTAATTTTTGCTGGTAATTCCATGTTCAGCTTGTCAAAAATATCCTAAAACACAAGATGGTTAGAGAACATTTTGAAGCAACTGATTAGGTACATACAGTATGTCAAATTAGCTCAAATACCTTCATATGTTTGGTTAGTACAAGTCCAATATTGTTGTTCCGAGCATTCTGCTCCAACTGCGCATTCCTCCTCAGAAGATATTGATAAGACATTGAATTTGCTTGGCTTGTTGTGTTTGTCCTCCTACCAGATCCTTTCATCTCAGTTTTCCTTATAGCACCATTTGCTATTGGCACACGGCCATGAGCTAAGCCACAACCACTACTTTTGTATAGCACAATAGGATCAAGTTGTGCATCACTTCTGCGCTGCTCACAATCATCTAGATGTTCAGCCTCAAGAGCAGCAAAGTAATCATCCTATGAAACAAAAAAAGTTCATGTTACCCTTCATATCATGCTGCAGAACCTTAGATATTTAAAAATGAGGTGGAACATACAACACGCTGTTGGGCCTTTTGGCTTGGAATTGGACCACTATTTCCATTGCTATCACAATTTTTGACACCCGACTTCATGGAGCAAAATGTATTCATGTCAGTGGCTGCGTGTGGACCATAAGTCTTTCCCTATGACATAGAGATCTAATTAGAAAGTTGTACAACACAACAGTAATATATGGATATGTAGAGTTTGGCTCATCACAACTTAACCATATATTGTTTGGTTTGACCATATGGTCGAGATCCGCCCCTGTTTTGAGCAAAATCCGGTTGGTCCCGTGACTCTTGAGCAAGGCGGCGCTTCTTTAAATATTCTAGTGAGCACCAGTAAGCACAAATGGCGCGCCATGCAGCCTCAGAAATCCAGTCTGGCTTAACCTTTGCATACTAGGCTTGACGAAATAATTTCTTGCAAGCCTCTGAATCCTTTATCCTCTGCTGAAGGAACTTGTCATAGTATGTCTTCACAGCATCCACACGAAGCTCATACATCATATTTCTATATAAAGAACATATTCTGCATGTGGCATTAAAATCATCTTCCACTGAGTAGATGCTCTACATTGACAAAACAGAGGCATATCATCTTTCATATTTAGACAAACCAAATCCTACGTTAGCAGCAGACAAATCATATTTAGAAATTTAAAAATAGTGACATTTTGCACTTATTGAATTACCCAGAATTCTTCTTTAAAACGATCAGCAGCAGTCATCCCTTCACCATCTTCAATAATATTATAGTGAGCCCATGTCTTTGCAAAATACTTCTTTGAACGACTCTCTTCAATCATAGAAAGGTATTCATGCTTTAGCAGAGCTGTGACTTGACCACCAATCCCCATATCCTTCTTAGGTGAGTAATTTACAAACTCAAATTGCCTACAGTCACAAGTTGCAGTCATAACAGCCATAATATTGAAAACTCAGCAATAACTAGAGGTGAAACCATGCTTACAGGGATAAAATCAGCAATAATACATAAGG